TTGGGCCAGGCCTCTGTGGAACATGCCCTCAGCCCTATCCCCAGGGCAGCTGGGGTGGATGTGCATATGTAGGGGGCCTGGCATGGCTGATGTGCTCCGGGAACAGGACCACCGCTGCTGCAGGGACACCCAGGCTGGGAGGGGCAATTCCAGCGGCAGCAGCGCCAGGCGAGAAGGTGCACAGAGGCAGCTTTGGGCGAGGGTCCACTGAGCAGACCTAAACTCGTTACTGAGACCCCCCCTGGAGGGCTCCAGCCCTGAAGGGGAGATCGGGCAGGCTGCCCAGTCACTGACCGTTTACTGTGCCTGATTCTAGGCCAGACACCAGGGTAAGGCCTGGAGGTCTGGCCCCTGCCCTCTAGAGATGGTCATAAATGGTTGGATGATTATTTAATCATCCCGTGCATGTGCCAGGAAGCAGCAGGATGAGGACCGAGTGGCATCAAATGCGGTGGGCACCCGGCCTGGTGTGGGCTTCCTTGGGGGTGTGAGCTGAGCCGTGAGCACTGCTGATTAGGACAGGAGGAGGGGGACGCTGCCCCTGGCAGGAGGCCCTGAGGTGGGATGGGGGTGGGGTCAGGGCCCCTGAGAGGAACTGGGAGCGGCTGCAGCCTGCGGAGGGTGTGTATATGTGCGCGCATGCAGGACCCAGGCTCCAACTGCATCCAGTTCTAAGGGCTACGGGGAGTCATGGCAGGTTTCACAGAGGGCACAACAGCGCCATCAGATTTGTGGTTTTAAAAGATCACTCAGGCTTCTGTGAGAACACTACAGGAAGCTGGAGTGGAGGCTGGGAAACCGGGAAAGGGTGAGGGACCCGGGCTGGGGTGAAGTCAAGGAGAAGGGGGGACAGTCTCGAGGTGAGAGAGAATCAGGGAGGGTGCGGGGCCCTCTGCCATCGCTGCTGACCAGGGCGGTGCGTCTGCGTCTCTTTCACGGCTATGTGGCCAGCGTCAGTGACAGGTGCTCTGCAAACTCTTGTTTGGATGATGAAAGGAGATGGCAGCAGGAACTGGGGCTCTGAAGGAGGCTGAGTCCCTTTCAGACAGGATGCAGGGGGGCCCCAGAAAGTGTTCTGAGGTCCAGCTTCTGGTGTGGACTTGCCTGCCGTCCTTTGGGCTCCCACACCTCCGAGGATGTGGGCAGGAGTGTGACAAGTGGCCAGTGGAAGTGCTCAGAAGGGCCCTCATGTAGTTCAACGCTCTGCTGTCACCTCGGGTTTTCACTTTGCACTGACTGTAACGGGTCGCGCCCTGAAGACCAGCGGAGGCCAGCGAGCAGGTAGAGGGGGTCACGAGGGAGACCTGTGCTTCTACTTGCCTGTCCGAGGACGGACAACACAGCCTGGGGTCTGGAGACCAGGCGGCTGGGGCAGGTGGGACCCCAGTCTGTGAGCTTGGGGCCGGGACAGGCGTGTTTCCACTTTGTCACAAAGTCCCCCACCTCCAAGTGGGTCCGTTGGTTAAGCACCTGCATGCAGGCAGGTGCTGGGAGCCTTGCTTACCCCTTTCCGTGGCATCTGCAAATCACAGGTTGTGTTGTCCCCTCTGTGCAAACAAACAGACTCAGTGTGCAGGGCCGGGGAGTCTGCCTTGAAGTCCAAGGTCATTCCAGAACAAACAGGAAATCTTAAAGGATGAGTCACTGTATGGAATCCAGTTCTTTCAGTGCATATAGAGCCTGAAACCGTTAAGTAAGGTAAAAACGGCTTCAGATCAAATCAGGACTTGCAAAGACTAGCTGCCGAAGCCTTCCTCAAATGGTTCCAACAGTTTCCACATATTGCTGTGTACTGTGTACCAGACAGCATACATCAACGCATTTAATCATCACAAAACCTCCCAAGGTGGGTAGGGTTATCCACAGTTAACTGATGAGAAAATGAACCTCAGAGTTGTGACTTGATCAGAGCCAGAAGCCAGGCTGAGACTGGATCCAGGGATGGCCTGTCCCCCCAGATGCTGTGCTCTTAACCACGCTCCCTTCTGCCTCCTCGATGGGGACACTGGGACCACGAGGACCAGAGGCAGACCATGCTGGCCTGTGATGATTTGAAAAGACGCCCTTGCCCCTGGTTCTGACTAATACCTCACATGAGACATGGCCGTCCGCCAGCTCATGAGGATGGTCATCTGTCTGTGACCAAGCCAGGACCTGGGCATTTGGGGGCTGGGGTAGGAAAGGAAGCCTGGAGCTTGGGGTCAGAGGCAGAGAGAGAGAGAGAGAGAGAGAGAGAGAGAGAGACAGAGAGAGAGAGGTCATCCTGGTACTAAGCCCCACTTCCCAGACAAGCCAGCTTTCAGGAAGTGAAAGGGGATCAAGGAAGAACAAAGTTCCTTTTGCAGGTTTGCTTTCTGCCTTTAAAAAAAACATTTGCAAGCAAGCGTAACCACCATGAGAGGACAGAGTGCCTCCCGAAACAGGCGCTGCTGGCGCACGCTCTGAGGGACTCAGGACAGGGACCCTGACGCCCTGCTTCAGCCCATGGGCCCCCCCAGGCGGGGAGCTGGATCAGCAGGCTCACTAACTACTGTTGGCCCCCTGGCCACGGCTGCTGTGGGTGGGGTGGTCTGGAGGAGCCCTGAGATCTCAGAGACTGGCGGGCACTTTGGGAACGGGAGGTCAGTCCAGGTGCGGCCCACATTCCCTCCACGTTTGCTGAGCTCACGGCCCTGGGCAGGAGATGGCCTACGAGGCAGGGGTTAGCCTAATGTGGGGGCTTTGCAATGAAACAAACAGAAAACACAAAGGAAATAAACAAAAATAAACAGGAAACGCAGATGAAATAAACAAAAATTGGCGAAATCATGCCCCTAATTGTTCCTCCTATCAGTGGCCCCGATTTTGCTAACTGGTGACATTAAATGATGCATTTCCGTAGAGGAATGCATTTTTTTTATTGTGATAAGACATACATAAAACTTGCCATTTTAACCATTCTTAAGTTCAGGGGCATTAAGTACATTCACATTGTTGTGTGACCATCCCCGCCATCCGTCTTTAGAATTTGCGCATCTTCCCAAAGTGAAGCTCTGTCCCCATTGAACACTAATTCCCCATCCCCTCCCCCAGGCCCCGCACCCACCATCTACTTCCTGTCTCTGTGGATTGGTCTACTGTAGGAACCTCATAGGAGTGGGATCATGCAGTGTTTGTCCTTTGTGACTGGCTTACTTCACTCAGTGTGATGTCCTCACGTCCATCCATGTTGTAGCAGGTGTCAGGATCGCCTGCCTTTTCAGGGCTGCACAGCACTCCGTGGTGTGGCGGGACCAATGGTGTCTGTCCGTTCATGCGTCCACAGACACGGGTTGTTGCCCCCTTGCGGGCACTGCCTGCGGCTGCATGGACAGGGTGCATCCTGTGGAGGAGAACCTGGAGAACACCGCTGGTGTGCAGAATTCCGAGCGCCCAGCGTCCTGAGCAGCGGCATTACGGGTGGAACTGGCACTGGATGAAGTCACGCTGCCCAGGCCCCAGCCCCCCTGCTTGGCCAGGTCACCTTGGGAAATGCCCCTGATCCCCAGCTCCCCTTTCCTTATCTGTCCAGTGGGGTGGACCTGGTAGCTGATGAGTCTCCAGGGGGTGGGCTCCCCAGACACTGCTGTGCCCCCAGACACATGGGAGCGTGTGTCTTCAGAGCAACTCGAGACAGGCTGGTGTCCTTCTCTGAGTTATCATTATAGCGACAATAGTGACGACTGTGGTGCTAGCAGCTGCCAACTGCTGGCATGTGCTCTGTGCCCTGCCCTGCACTGGCACGTTCCTGTCCTCATCTTCTGGTGACCCCAGGAGGAATATATATGCCGAGTTGGATCGAGGGAGGCCTGGCACCTTGCTCTGGGTCTCACCCCGGTGAGGGGGCAGCTGACTTGCAGCAAGGCCTGGGGTTCCTACATTGGAGCTCTGGACAGCCCGCTGTCTGCTTCTGCCCCAGGGAGGCTGAGCCACCTGGGCCTCCAGCCGCTGGAAGTGAAGTTTGGGTTCAGCGCTGCAGCAAAGCGTGGGAGGCATCGCGACGGCGGCCCCGCGGTAGGGACTGAGTGCGGTGCTGTGAGATGGTTAGGTTTTCTTGGTTCTACTGCTCCAAAGACGTGCTAACCAGCGGGGGCAATTCCGGCTGCACGGTGCTTCCTCTTCTAGACGTCATGATCAGACAGAAGTGGGGAGGGCGGGTGTCAGGGAGGAAGGGCCATCCGGGAGCCCCAGGTGCTGGCTGCAGCCTGGCGGACCGACCGCCGGGGAGCCCAGACCTCTGTGTGGTGGAGGAGACACGGAGGTGAGGCGCCAGGCCCTAAGCGGTGGGCTCCGGGGTGCTGGTCCCTACTCCCCAGGTCCCAGTGCTGGGAGGGAGAAGCCAAATGCACCCCCTTTCACAGGTGAGGGCACTGAAGCTCAGAGGAGGCAGGTTTTGCCCCAGGTCACACACTGGTCACTGGGGTGGAGGGGGGCAGGAGTCATCCCAGATGTGCTGTCCCTATAGCCACTGGGCTCTGAAGCCTCCTGTTGGCATCTCAATCGAGAGACAGACACTCATTGCCACCTGGGGACACATGTGGGCCAGAGAGGCCGGGCCTCCCTGTATTTCCATCCAGGCCCATCGTGACATGCTGTGTGACCCCAGCCTCAGAGCCCATGGCCTCTTGCCTAACCAGGGTCACATGTGGCCATCTGCCAGCTGCTGGGCACAGGGCATGTCAGGCCTATTACCGTTCACCCCCATTGGGACCCTGCATGTGACGGGTCCCCTCCAGGGCGGGGGCAGCTAGGGCTTCCTGAAGCCCAGCTGGGATCCAGCCCAGGCACCTGTGGTGTGAGGTGACGTGAGAGAACGGGATGGGTTTTGAGGGGGGCTATATATGGGGGAGCCCAGTTCACCTGCCATGGTGTTAGATGTCTGTTTACTGTCTGGCCCCCTGGGAGGTAAGCCCCATGGACAGAGGGGACACTGAAAAGCCTTGTGGGTGGCTGGCTGAGTAAACTGGCCTTCCTGTCCTCAGGTCCAGCTGGGAGCTGCCGGACCTCCAGGAGGGCAAGATAGAGGCCATCAGCGACTCGGACGGGGTGAACTACCCCTGGTACGGCAACACCACGGAGACGTGCACTATTGTGGGTCCCACCAAGAGAGACTCCAAGTTCAGCATCAGTATGAATGACAACTTCTACCCGAGCGTCACGTGGGCCGTGCCCGTCAGCGAGAGCAATGTGGCCAAGCTGACAAACATCTACCGGGACCAGAGCTTCACCACATGGCTGGTGGCCACGAACATCTCCACCAATGACATGGTCATTTTGCAGACGCTGCACTGGCGCATGCAGCTCAGCATAGAGGTGAACCCCAGCCGGCCCCTGGGCCAACGTGCGCGGCTGCGGGAGCCCGTCCTCCAGGACCAGCCCAAGATCCTCAGCAAGAATGAGCCGATACCGCCCAATGCCCTGGTGAAGCCCAATGCCAACGATGCTCAGGTCCTCATGTGGCGGCCCAAGTACGGGCAGCCGCTGGTGGTCATTCCGCCCAAGCACCGGTAGCAGCAGGGGCGCCCGCGAGGCCAGACTCAGATAACGATACCGCTCGAGCACACCCCATGTGGAGGCCAGTCATTCAGCAAAATACAACCATTCTACCTTCTCCCAGGGTCGGGCGGTCTCACTGTGCAAATGCCCCCCAGGCTGGCCGCCCCGGCCCTCTCGGAACCTGCTTTCTTGTGAGGAGGCGGGGAGACCCAGCCAGGACAGAACCAGTCCCACACGCACCCTGCAGTGTCACCTTGGGTCTTCATTCCTCTCCTTTTTCTCACAATTTCAGTCATTCACTTGCAACAGACTCCCTGACACAACTGCTTTTTCAGTCTTTTTTTTTTTTTTTTAAAGCCTCTTTAGAGGTTCAGGGCTTGGAGGAGGAGCAGCTGATATGAGACTGACCCGTGCCCGTGCCTGAGGGCCGGGCCTCGCATGGCAGCTGCCCCTCCTCCTGCGTCACGCGGCCTTATGTAGACTTGCTTTGCCAAACCTCTGCCTTAAGCTGAACTTAAAGGAAAAAAACAAAACAAACCCGAAACAGACAAAAGAAAGCGGGACCTCTTTTCTACTGGACTTTTCATCTTCTGCCAGAGGTGAGGGAGCAGTCGGGTCAGGGATGAGAGAAAGATTCGCTGAGCCCCTCATCCCACCCTCCCTTCCATCTTCCCTCCCGGGTGTCTTGGGAGAGGGGCAGGGGCACAGATTTAGATCTGAAACCAGCTGCTCCCTCTTTCGTTTTGGCAGAAATGAAACCACAGACAGATGCTGCATCTCAGCCCCAGGTAGAATGCCCGCCCCTCCCCCTACCTGCAGAGAAGGGCTGAGAGCTCTGGCTGGGGGTACATCTGCAGGGGCTGCCTCTCGCCTCTTCCCAGCAGCCTTAACTTGCCGGGGTGGGTCTGGGAGACAGGGAGGGTCCTGTGAGCTACAGGTGGAGCCAGGGAATTGTGGCATCTCAGGCAGCACCCGTTCACGGCCTGTCTGCCGGCACATCTAAGTGTGCGGCTTTTCCTTTTCCATCCACACTGGTCCCAAACACTGGGGGGCAAGTCCCTTTGACCCAGTTTTAGTCCAAAGGTAAAAAGAAAGGCACCCCTTTCCCTCCAGGCTCCTCAGGGGATGCCCCTCCCAGGCACCCTGGGGGAGGGCTGCAGATGGGCCCTGAGCACCAGTGCTGGAGGTGGGGGAAGCTAGGAGGCGACACCCAGAGACGGGGTGGGGGTGGGGGGTGGGGTGTGTGTCTTGGATCTGGGGAGGCAGGTGGCAGGCACCCCCATGCTGCCTGTCCTCGAGGAAGTAAACCAGGGCCTAGGACCCCAGGGTGAGAGGCCTGAGAGCCATTCTGGAGGCTGCTCTGGGACAGTGTGGCCAGTCCTTGAGGGCCACCCTCCCTCCGGTCCCAGGCCCTCTGGAGCCCTGGACTGGGTTCTGAGTGATGCCAAGCTTTCTTACCAACTTCTGCCTTGAAGGCTGCTCGCAGGAGCTGTGGGGACCCCCCTCTCAAGCCCCCTTCCTCCAAGCTTGCCAAACCCACAGCTACATCACCCAGGCCCCACATTCAAACCAATAATAATCAAGCACAGAAAACAGGTAAGGAAAACAATCCCTTTCTGCCGCACATGAGCCACTTGTAGGAGTCCCAGTGACAACACGGGG